CATATAGAATGAATTTATAATAGAAGGTTCTATGCTTATTATATGTCATAAGTTTAATCTCTTTTTAGATGCTAGTCTGTAGTCCTCAGAGGTACAAGTGATGTGGAATTCCCCTCTGTATGATGTGAATACCATTGGTTAGTAAAGAAACTGCTTGTCCTGATATGGTAGAATGGAGCTAGACAGGGAAAACTAAACTGAACGCTGGGAGATAGGAGGTAGAGTAAGGAGAAGCTATGGAAAGGACACCAAAGACAGACACGCTGAAACCTTGCCGGTAGGCCACGAGCCTCGTGATAAAATATAAAATAATGAAGATGTGTTAATTCTAGATGTAAGAGCTAGCTATCAATATGCTTAAGTAACTGGCCAAGCAGTGATGTAATTAATACAGTTTCTGTGTGGTTATTTTGGGAGTCTGGGCAGCTGGGAAATGAACGAGCTGCCTCCTTACTACATAGAAGTGACATTCTGAAAGACTTCTAGAGATGTAGACCCAACTGTTGGTGCTCTGTACCCTGGTCAAACCATGTCTTTCCTCTATGCAGAAAAGAATATGCTGTGTTAACAGGACATCCAGATGATGCTGGGATTTACGTAGTCTATTCTTTGCCTAGAAACCTTCTTTTCTCCACTCTCGTTGTTTCAATAATAACCAATTACAGAAATGTTATTGGCACTGTTAAACATACTTTTCTGTTAACCATGGTGGGGGATGCTACAGTTTAAGTATATTTCATGTTTTGACATAATCAAATTGATTGTGTCACAGTAGAATAGGTAATAAAGCCTTCATCAGCCTTTTGGCTTTGTTTCCCATTGCTGTATAATAATACCCTCATGAAAACAACTTGAGGGGAAGAGCTTATTTGAGATTTAAACTTGAGGTTATAATACATACTTGTAGGGAAATCAGAATAGCAGGAGATCAAGAGAAATGACCACACTAAATCCAAAGTCAAGTTCAGATAACACTGAACTAATGTTCACGTGCTAATACTAATCAGCATGCTTTCTGAATTTGTATTCAGTCAAGGGCTCATCCCACTCTATAAAGGTGGGCTCTCCCATCTAAACTAACACAACTGAGAAGAATGATCCCACTCATTCCTACAGGCTAATCTAAGTCAAAGATTTCCTCATTGAGATTCCCTTTCTATACATCAGCAATATATCAAACCCATGGAACAGCTTTTGGTGAACATCAAGCTTAACTGTGCTTAAGAGGAGAGTTAATTTATATGCACTCAGACAGCAGCTAATCACTAACAAACATAAAGATGGTACTCATGTATCCAAACATCCACTTTACACAAGAAGAGAATGTGCTTTTTTCAAGGCATTCTTTTCTAATGTCAACATAGTTAAAATTATGTGATAAGAAATACATACTATAAACATATAAAAAGTCTTTAAATTTTATGTATGTACATGTTTCTCTGTATGAGGATAGTGAATGGAGGTTAAGAGGCCACTCTCAAATGTCATTCCACAGGCGGTCCATAGAACATTCCTTTGACACAGTGTACCTCCTAGACTTGCGGCTATCCAAATCAGTTAGACTCTTGTGTCAGTAAACTCAGGGATCTACTTGTCTTTTTACCTCCCCAGCATGGAGATGATAGGCGTGTTTCACCACTCCCTGGAATTTACATGGATTCTGGAGACTAATATCAGGTCCTCATATAGGAAGCATGTCACAGACTAACCATCTTCCCAATGCCAAGACTTAAAGTCCCAAAATATTTTGCTATGCCATGCATCTACTTTTTAACCTGCAAAACACTCTATGCTATTTTTTCTTATAAATGCTTAAAAAACTGGTGGTTAAGAAGATTCAGTATAAATTATCATAGTATTTGAAAATATTTAGTAGGTAGTAAGTTTTTACTAAACGAAATGATACAGGATATTTATCACAGCACCTTTATCTCTAGAACTATTTTTTTTTTTACAGACATGGCTTCTGGTATTCTAGCATTGCTACTAATTTTCTATAGACTTTAGAAAAATATTGAACTTCTGATACTCTTCGCTAGTGTGTGTGGTGTGGCCTTAAGGGAGTACATCAATATACCTAGCTTTATAAAGAGAACAGGACTAAAGCCAGGGCTTCTTGAACATAAAGGCAGGCATTCTACCATCTGCAATTCATCCCTGGCCCTCACAGATCATTTATCCACATTTCTATCCAGGATTCCACTATGATTTTTAAGATCTGAAGCCAACCTAGAATATAATTATTGGTGTGCAATGAAAGAATCTGTTTCTGTCTCACTCCTTCTTTTATTTTTATAATATGATAGATGAACGAAAATTACTTTATCCAAAGACGAGTGAAAAGTTAAAGAGATATTGTGCTATTGCTCTTTGGTAACATTGCTTTAAATCATCTGGAAAAGGAAACCCAAAGCCTCAGTCAGAATCACGTGAAGGTCTTTAAACATGTTACTATTCCTCCCCCAGAGTTGCCATTCAGCACACCTCAGGTGCAGTCTATGATTTGCAGTGAAAACATCCAAAGCACTATTATTATGTCAAATACACATTGATAGGCTAGTACACTTAGATGTTTAAATGACCATGCTTATTTTTATTAGATTATAATTAGAACAAAGCTCATGGCTCTGTATGTAATATAATTTTTAAATTATCATCCTCTTTTGTAGAACAATAAAATACCAACATGAACGTCATATCTTTGTAAGCATAAACCCAATCTTATCTAGATGGAATTGCAATATTTACTCCTTATTTTAAAGAGATCACCAGACTATTTATCTCTCCAAGGTAGAAAAAAAAAAACTTTCCCCAAACTCCTCTTCATCTTCATATGCATAGTTAGATGTCTTCAGGCATTCCTCACGCATTATCACACACAATGTAAAGTGTTTATTGTGCAGTTCATAACAGAATTGCAGTCATCACGCCAACCATGTGACCTAAGGTTAAACCATTCTAGATGCTTACAGAAATATTTTGACATGACTGTCAACCTCTGAACAACAAATCAAATATCTGAAAAAGTCCACAATGCACAGAATTTTCACGATTTATCTTATTACATAGTTCTTTGAGTCACATGCTAAAAGGAAAGAAATAATAACTCTTAAATGAACACAGATTTTCTAAGAAACCATCCCTTAGGTTTAATAAATTATTAATCTCAAGTAGGAGAAGACAAGATCTCCTGAGTAAATTGGGAGTATGGGGATCATGGGAGAGGATAAAAGAACGAGGGAGCAGAGAAAAAATATAATGCACCATAAAAACAATTAAACAAAAATAAGTAAATAGATAAATTATTCATTTCTACAAGTGTCCAGAAATTTTATAGCACTATATAAGTTAAAGATTACTTTTGAATGATAGTTATATTTTAGCATAACAAGAAATATCATTCAACTGTCATAATCATAATTTATATATGCAATGAATCCAGTGGCTAAAACATATTTGAATGTGACATAATTTTATTTTAAAACCTTGGCTATTATTTTATAAGTCATGATGTTATCAGAAATGAATATGAGGAATTTTCAACAACTTCTTTATATATAGAAAACATAATTCAACTAGTTCAATGTATATAACAAGAGGATTCTAATATAAAAATTTCTGAAAAAGGAATTTCCTCCTTTTATTCCTAACATAATCATAGAAAATTCATGAAAGGCACACAGTGATTACTGTGTAAGTCTGCAAGCTTTACTTGTATTATCTAATTTTTAGATCTCTAATTCTAGCAGTCAGCTTTTTTCCCTTAACCATCTTATTTTCAAAACTCATCCTCCTGGCATTACTTATATGTTAGTAGCAATTTAGTCAAAAAAAAAAAAGCTATTTTTCAGTAGGACAATTATCCTGTAAAAAAATGAAGTAGTAATGTTGGTATAGAAACCAATACATTTCCAATACTAAGTATTTACTGTAATTCCATCAACTCTAAAGTAATTCTGTCCTAAAAACTGACATTATCATTATTCATTTCTGTTCCCCAAATTTCCCAGCTTTATGTTGCATATCTGGATTTTTTGAAATTAAAATTTTTATCTTTAAGCCTGTATCCTACTTCATATATTGTGTATATCAGAAAGCTATCTCAATAAGTTATCATTGCTAATCATATTTATGGAAAACTCCCTCAAAGTGTTTATTTTTTTTCAGGGTGCACAAACTTCACTGAATGCACTCAAAATAAACCTAATCATCAACACAAATCACTCTATATTTGATATAGTACATGCATATATGTTAATAATTTTAAGTAACTTAATAATGTGAGCTACTGGTAGGTTTGAATGTTCTATTTGGGGCATTTTAGATATATTTGGTAAAATTCTTGATTATTTAAAATAGTATTCCATCTGAGTTTACATGAGCTTTAACAAGCATGAACTAAAAAAGAATTGCTGCAAAGTTTATTATCTAGATTTTAATCTAGTTTGTTAGTTTCATGTTGCAAAGCTGAGAAACTCTCATGGATGGCTTCAAAGTATGCTGAGAACTAGTGATGGTGTTCAGTGAACTACTAAATGGGAGAAATTGAAACATTAGACTGTTTCCCTAAACTCAGTGATCCTCTTTTAAAAAAATCTAAAGATTAATTGAACTACATGTAATAGCTTAGGCATTGCTAAGCTCTGACAGGCATGAGCACTGCGTTTTTATCGCAGAGGTTTGATGATCTGGCTCACCATTCACCTGAGACCACCAAACAGCATTCTTACACCTGTTTCCTATCTCTGTTTGCAGTTGGCTGAGCTTTTCTTAGAGTGTGTACTTCTGTTCAGCTGAGATACAACATTCTGCTTTCTTCCATCCGGCACTTACATCTGCAAATAAAAGTGAGGATACCAAAGAGGCATCATTTCTCATGAAATGAGTGCATACCACTCACTTACGAATCCCAGACACCTTCACACTTGAATGTCAGAAACCTCGCGCATGCTCATGTGCGCAATATATCATGTTATGCATTAGTGTCAAATTTTTCTTACCGGTCAAGTTCTTCAATCCAAGTTCTTGAAGTCCAAAGTTGCCATCTTTTCTGTAGTTTAGAAATATCGCTAAGGCGTAGCGATCTTCATACAGCTTTGTTCCACGAATTATGCGTAAATTCTCCAGAGGAAGATACCGAAACTGGTTGAGGGCCACCAGGACGTAGCCTGTGACTTCTCGGATAGACTGAAAAAGCACAAACAATTGTCTGTGTTAAGAAAGAAGGAAATCAACTTGACAGGTTGTGTGTATAGTCATTTAAATAAAAATAAGTTATTTAATTCTAATTGTCAGCTCCTAATATACTAATTTCCACATGATATTCATACTCATTGGATTAATAATAGAAGATAACAAAATATTAGAATTTTATTTGAATACAAGTATTATTTATTTTTAAAAGCCGTGTATATTCTTAAAATAAAATAATGGATTTTGTTTTAGGAGACATTCCTTAAAAACCTGAGGTGTGAATTTAGTTAAAGAAATACAGGTATCATTCATTGTTAGACTACAATAATGTGATATAAAAATGCTCAGTCAATCTACAGATGAAAATTTATATTGACATGTCTACAAAAATAGAATTAGTCTACATTCCTTGTAGACACAAATTTAATGGTTATATGGCTGTTTAGTACAATATTTATCCCATTGGAACTGTAGCTATTACCGATCTTCCTGAGCTCAAAGTCCTTGGAGTATGAATATAAGAATAAAAAGAAAAGAAAGGTGGACTACCTTAGTAAGACTGACCATGGTTGGTACAATACAACTTGCAAGCATCTCTATCCCACAGAGTCAGCCTAAGAACATTATACAAGTCACTCTTGCTTTGACTGAATTGTTAACTTCAAGTTCTTTAAAGAAAAGGTACTTTAACATCACGTGGCCTAAAAGGCAACATTTTTTCATTAATTACAAAAATGTATTTTGGCTGGCATATGATGATTGTTAGTGTTCTATATACAATGAGCACTAAAGGGAAATTGGAGTCTTTTCTGTATGAACAATCTTTTCTCTAGAGTAAATCATTCTGTCATCACTGTTCCTTGAATCCCTCCAATCCCATTCAGGAGGGACTCTTCTTACCAAAAAATTCAAACTCCTTGATTACAGCAAGGGGTGTACATTACTATTAGGGAGACTGTAATTGAAACAAACTCAGGGTGAAAAGAAACGGTTCTTACCAAGAAACAATAACAATTACGCAGTGCTTATTGGATGGAGAGTGTTTCTAGCTCCTAATTGACAAAGATGTGCAATTTGCTGCAGTAGAAGTTACAAATAGTGTATAAATGGTTAGAACTTTTGCTTACCCAAAGAATATGATATATAACAAGAAACAAATGTTCACAAATAATCAAATAAGATCTCTTAAATTAGTTACTTTTCTAGAGGGCTTAATAAAAATAATTGTTTCTTGCAAAATTATTAGATAAATATTTTAAATCTAAAGGCAATACACAGTACCTTGATTTAATGCTATTATGTTTCTAGAAGTTATAATACATTTTCCCACATATTTCAGGTATCTGTAATACATATTTTTACATATTTTAAAGCTGTTTCAATGGACAAATGTTCTGAAATATTTCAAAAGGAAACTGATTCAGATCACAGGCTAAGACATATATGCCACACGCAAACAGAATCTCAGGAAACAGCTCAAAGGCAATAGGATTTCCCAATGCTTAAAAGAACTCACAACACACTCTAAACTAAAATTGATCTGTCTGGATCATAGAAATTGATATCTAAAGTTGTAAATTAAGTGTTAATCTATCTCATAGGACTATATAATCATGTCAGTTCTTTATTGTTTCTGGCTTTAAACCATTAGAAAAAAATCTGTTACATAACATTTTTTATTGTTCTGAAACTTTGTTATGAAAATAAATATGAGTTTGGACTATATGAGCTGAGGGATGTGGGCTGGCCTAACAGGGAACTTTGACCTTCAAATCTAGCCTTTGTCCTTACTAGTTGTGTAAACTTGATGAAGCTTTTAGGTCTCTGAAGTCTTCAGTCTTTTCATCTTTAGAAAATTCATAACAATACCTCTATGGCAAAGCTGTTGTAAGCATTGTAAAATAAAACAGTTTATAGAAATTGTGTTTAATAGATGCTAGCTATTACAAATATTGCCTCAGAAATTAGCCAGGCGGACAAATAGCCTCAGCACAATGAGCTGGAGGTAAAATGGTCATAATATCGTTGCATAAGAGAGCTATTATTTTAATCTCTCTGCTATGTAATCTTCAGCAAACTTATATCTTCCTCTTAAATTTGCAACTTAATTCTAAAATTCTGAAATGCCTCCCATTTTTCATATGCATGTTCCAGCTCTCAGTGCTGACCATGGCATTGAATTGACAGTCAACAAAGGCTGCTTGTTAGAGTGAACTGAAATCTAAAAGCAAGGCTTTTAAGTCTTGTAGCTTTTACTTTCCAAACAAAATGACTTTGTGAGCTTGCTGCTAATAGGAAATATTGAAAAACGAATTTGTTGTCTGTGCCAATGGACCACTGTAGCAAACAGAACTCACTGGAACAACCACTAAAAGAGAAAATTTTCACCATGGCTTCAAGGAGATTCAGGGTCAGAAACTCCTTTTGTCTTTCCAAAAGCAAAGGGTGCAGCCACCTAGAGATGCACCATCCTCCATAAGGGGTTAGCCTCTTTTCAACAAGACAGATTGTCTTGTTGCCTGCATTAGCTCTGCAACACCTTTGTTCGGGGGAGTGAATGAAACTGAAGTTCATTAAGGCCTGACTCCTTGAGAAATCAGCTAACCCATGAGAATGTCCCTCCACTCTTAGTACTTAGGGAAGGAAATGAAGGATAGATATGGATCTATCTTCTGGCTATCTATGTCATTCTTTTACCTGCAGGGTACTCCAGAAAAAAAAAAAAACTGTCTTTATTATTTTCAAACTTCAAGTCCTTTAAACAACTGTTTTTTAATTGATACAACTCCTGATTTGATTTTTCGTCCTTCTGTCCTCCTTTCTGTTTTCCTTTCTTTTTGTTTTTTTTTCCTCTCAACGTTACCTTAGAGAAAAATAAATAACAGATTCTCAAACATGCCCTTGTTTATCTTAAGTTTTATCTTGACTAAATCCATGCTTATTGGTCTACTTTCATGTAAGCATGGAGAAGCCTGCCAGTTATCATTTATTCCTGCTTAAAAGCATCTCTGGTTGTTAAACTACTTTGGGGTTATGTCCTCAGACCCAATGAGAAACCACTGCAAACACTAACGCATTCCGTGAGTGAGGACATCCATAGTGCCTAGTTTGGTGACCAGACTGGAAATGAAATGACTGTGACAGTATGAGGAGTAGGAAGCAGAAAACCCTAGAGACAGGAGAGAGGATGTTGAGGGGTCTGAAGCTCCCACCCGTGGTGGTGGATGCAGAAATAATGCTTCCTCTGATGCTGGCATGTGCGGGAGCAAACCTTTGCTTCTGTATCACGAAGATTTTCTGTTAACTTCCTTAAGGCAATTGCTTTCTGTCCCTGCCGCCTATCATATCTGGGAATATCTAAAGCAGACACATTCTTAACTGTGACATAATATGAAGAAGTTTACAAGAAAAAATTAATAAGCCTATAATGTGCATTGCATATTCCTTTCGTTCGTACAGATAATTATTTCGCTTTGGGATTCTGCTTTCAGTTTCCCACTGTTTGAAACTTAAAAAAACTCTGAGGAGCAGGGACTCAATATCTGATCTAATTAGATTTGAGCAAAAGAGCATGTGGAATGTCATGTACCCAATGACAGTAGAGTTAAATTCTGGCTCACTGGACTCAACTTGAAGCAATACTGAAGGTTTAGAAAATCTGATCCCATTCATCCAGCAAAACTGCACTCAGCTACTATGAGCCAGTTTCATTTGCTAAGCCTGACCTGATACACGGAACCTGTGGGCCACACAGTCAACATGGACTACTTAGCCATCACTCAACATGAACATGCCTTATATTGGCAATGAACACATTTAACCCATTGTAAACAGGAGTGTTTCTCTCTATCTCCAGAAATAACCATCTTTCCTGTGTCTTTTATACTGTCCTGATCAGTGTGCAGAGAACTTATTAGGTCTGTTTCCAGTAGGTTCTTTGTTCCCAGACCTTATATAGACTATATCACCTATCCTTTTAGGTTTGTTCAATTATATTTGGCTCTAAAATACCTCTTCACTGCCAATACCTACTAAAATAAAAAACAAAAAACAAAACAAAACAAAAAACCAACCTGTAAAGAAATGGTGGAAAACCAAACTGAAACTAAAAAAAATTATACATGTAATTTATATTAAGTCTCTGCCAATCTTAGAAATTGAGCTCAGTGAATTACAGTATAGCAACTAATCAAATATGCCCATAAGACAACTGTCCGCCAATAAGGGAAATGTGGAATAATAGTAAATCAAGTTCTTCCTTTACACCATTTCCATTACCTGCCTGAAAACACCACCTTCTGCTTTTTCTGGGTGTTCTCTGAGCTTGCCTTCCTTCTGCAGAGCCGCTCATGAATTACAAATTATTCTTTGCTCAAAATCTCAGCTCTCTTTCATTTGCCTAGAGATACCCCTAATGGATTACACAAATTGAAATGTGAGCTATAGATCCCTTTATTTGGCAACATAAGCACCCTGATTTTGTAGTATTCGTAGAAAGATTTATGGCCTTACAAATATTATAACCTATAATTAAATATTTATATATAAATTTACTTTCTTTACTATACTACAGGTGAGCTTGTATTTTACAATCTCAATTTAAAATTTTTATTTTAACTTTTTTGAAATTAAGTATTTATTAAATTAATATTTTCATGTCAGATATATACATTAGAGTAGCAGGCTTTCTTGACCACCAGTCCCCAAATCATAACATGGAGACGTATTATTACTTATGAATGCTTGGCTTTAGTTTAGGCTTATTCCACTAGAACTTATAATTAATTTGTTTCTCTTCATATACATTTGCCTCAGGGCTTTTCTTTTCTTTCATTTTCTATGTTCTTCTTCCCTACTTTCTCCATGTCTGTCAAGCAGGTTGCTGGTTGACTGGCTGGCCCAGGGTATGTCCTATTTTTCCGTTTTTCTCTCTGCCCACCAGCCCTGCCTATCTCTCTACTGCCTAATTTTTGACCATTCAGCTTTTTATTAGC